AAATGCCCTCTGGGGTCTCCCAGTACCACCATGCTCCACTTTAAGGTTTCCTGGGGTTTAGGTGAGGATTGGTAGCAGTACTGAAAGCAGAAGAACTCCAGGCACCCTGTGCATGCACACTTCTTCAGATACCTTCAGAAGCACACGAAAGCTCATACCTATAACAAACTTAGTTGGTCTCTAAGGTGCTACTGGAAGGAATTTTTTAATTTTGTTTTGACTACAGCAGATCAACGGGACGCAGGTGGTGCTGTGGGTTAAACCACAGAGCCTAGGACTTGCCAATCAGAAGGTCGGCAGTTCGAATCCCCATGATGGGGTGAGCTCCCATTGCTCGGTCCCTGCTCCTGCCCACCTAACAGTTCGAAAGCATGTCAAAGTGCAAGTACATAAATAGGTACCATTCTGGTGGGAAGGTAAACGGCATTTCCGTGCGCTGTTCTGGTTTGCCAGAAGCGGCTTAGTCATGCTGGCCACATGACCCAGTAGCTGTACACCGGCTCCCTCAGCCAGTAAAGTGAGATGAGTGCCGCAACCCCAGAGTCGGTCACGACTGGACCTAATGGTCAGAGGTCCCTTTACCTTTACCTTTACAGCAGACCAACATGGCTACCTACCTGTAACTACTACTTATATTGTGTTATGACAGCTGCTCATGAGGTGGCTAATGTCCTAACTGCTGCTTTGCCAAGGGCAGCTCTTGGCAGGGCTTCATGAGCAGCCACCTCTTTAAAGGAGTACTGGAGTCTAGTCACATAGTCTCTGAGAATGTTTATGTTTGCAAGAAATAAAGAGGGCTTGAAAACTCTCCTCCTTCAACCTCAGCATACACCAAGACCAGCGAAGGTGCAATGTACTGGCTGCTCTAGGAGTCCATCTGTTGCTGTTCTGATGGTTTCCCATCATATATCATTTCTCATCATATATCATTTCCCAAAATTACCTTGCTTTCTTATAGGTCCACCACATACATGGATTGTGAGTTTAACTCTGCTGAAATAGATGTATGTCTTCTTACACAAGTGGGTAAGAGGTAGGATAATTACTAAAGAAAATACCCTCTCCTACTTGCCTAAATGCATGCAATATGCACATGTTCCAGCTTGTCAATATCCTTCTTAAATTGTGATACGCAGAAGTGGACTCAGTACTCTGCTGATGCAGACTGGAATAGCATTAGTTTTCTGTTTTATTTTTTGTTTTTGCTGCTGCTGCATCACACTGATGACTCATATTAAGCTTGTGGTCTACTAAGACCCCTAGATCCCTTTCAAATGTACTACTGGCAAGCCAGGTTTTCCACATCTACCCAACCCGCAGCTGGTTCTTCCTGCCTAAGTATCAAACCTTATATTTGTCCCTATTGAAATTCATTTTGTTAGTTTGTTCCCAGTTTTCCAATCTATTAAGATCATCTTGAATTCCAATTCTGTGTTCTGCTGCATTAGCTACCCCTTCCAATTTGGTGTCATCTGAAAATTTGATGAGCATCCCATAAATTCTTCCATGCAAGTTATTTATAAAGACATTGAACAACAACAGGCCCAGAACAGAACCCTATGGCACCCCGCTTGTCACTTTTTCCAGGATGGTGAGGAACCATTAGTGAGCACTCTTTGGGTTTGGTCAGTCAACCAGCTACAAATCCACCTAACAGTAATCTCATCCAACCAGAATTTTACCAGCTTCTCTGCAAGAGGATCATGGGGGAGTTTGTCAAACGCCTTACTGAAATCAAGATACACTACATCCACAGTATTCCTTTGATCCACCAAGCTTGTAACTCTAACAAAAAAAGAAAAAAGAAACAAGATTAATCTGGCATGACAGAAAGACCCATAAGTACTGGAATAGACAAGAAGCTAATGTCAGGCCAGGTTAGCACTCTGGACAAGGACCACAGTACCAGTTCAGGACAACAGTTAGCAGCCCTGTAATGGAATGGAGGCAGAAAAAGCAAGTTGTTTCAGCTGTGCCCAAGATTAAAACCTCACCCCTTGCATACTGCATCTGGACAGTTTAAAAACTCGTGCCTTTTCCTCCAGCTGTTGGCTTCTTCTAGACTGGGGGGTAGGGATGACTTGTGGCCTTCTATCTGTAGTTGGACTCCCATCAGTCCCAGCTATCACAGCCAGTAGTCAGGGGTGATGAGAGTTGGAGTCCTACAGTTTATGGAGGCTCTCTAGAGAGTGGAGTTTCAAGCTGCAGAGATATTTTTTATTTTAATTTTTTTAAGTGGAGAAATAAGCACCTCTGGGTTCTCCTGATCCTCAGTACTGGTCTGTGGGCCAGTCACTGAAGTCTGGGCATAGAAAGAGGTGTCTCCTCAGGGTTCAATGGAAGAAATGCCAGTGGATCCATCTTCTTTATTGGACTACTGTTATAGGATGACTCGGCATTTGAGAATTCCTATTTGAGGTCCCTCCTTTGGTAATCTTTACAGAACTTTAGTTTATGATTGCCATCAATTTTGAGTTTAATTAATTTTTATAATGTTTTTAGAATGTTGCACTATTTTAGTGTTGTTAGCCGCCCTGAGCCCGGCTTCGCCTGGGGAGGGCGGGATATAAATAAAATTTTTTATTTTTATTATTATTATTATTATTATTATTATTATTATTATTATTATTTCACTGGCTCAGTCCCGAATTAAGTGGCATCCAAGCACTTGAGAACTTCAGCAGTACTGCTTAAGAAAACTTCATTTTAATGCTGCACACTCAGGGAGACTGTAAAGCAGGCAAATGCCATATTGAGTTCAGCACTCTCGGCTGTGACATGCACTATTGAAAATCTCTCCCATCACTGGAGTGTATGAGAAGAGGCATTAATTTGGAGCAGATTCACCTAGCAACTTTGCTGGATCAACTGCTAACCCAGGGCTCATGATGATGTCCTACTCACTTGTGTGGAGCCATTTCAGCAGGAAGCCCGATGAACCTTTTTGTCATTCAAACCAGAGAGAAGCTGGCCTCCCGGTTTGGCAAAAGCCCTCAGCCAACCTGAAATCCATCAGCTTCAATTAAAGCCCCTCTAACTGTCACGATTGGTTTGGAATGCAGAGTGGCATGCAAGACACTCGGAACCTCACTCCTGTTAGGAGTAAAAGCACAAGGACCCTGCTGTGACCTCCATTTACAAGACTCACTTACAATTGCAAAAGCATTCAGTGTCTTGGACAAATTAGTCTGGAAACCCCAGCTGTTTAAAAGCAGACTTCTTGCTGGGACAACAACCTTTCCTGGGTTGCCAAATGTTTTCTTAATCTTCACATCTGTGATGATCAAACACAATCGTTCAACCTATGCACTGGGAAACTGCCACAGCTGAACACTCTCTTACCTTTTCCCTATGTTACATGCAGGGCAGGGGGTCTGCAGGACTGGGTACTAGCAATTGGCCCTAGTGCTCAGAAGGCCTATTGGCACCTCTGCTGCTGCCCCCATTAGGGTTCTTGCTCAGCATTGCTTCTGCCTCCACTAACTGCCAGTCACACCCATCTTCCTCTTCAGATGTAGTTTTGGGTGGTGGTGATAGCACATGCCAGTAGTGGGTGTGGTTAAAGGGGGGAAAGGGGCAATTAATATAAAGGTTGCCTCAGCACAGCAGGGCAGTTTCCATTGTGTCTCTAACCTCCATCCAGGCAAGCAAGATGCATCATCAGCACTCAGTGGTAGCTTCCAGACAGGCAAAGATGCTTCAGGAGGGTGTGAAATAAGGCCACTGGTAGGTGTGGCTTGCGGAAAGAGGGTGTGGCCCAGGAAGAATCTCAGGGCTGCCATGATGAAGCAGCAAGCTCAGACTTGTTACAAGTTAAGCCAGAATGCTGTATTGTTTGTGCCCACCTGACATCAGCTCAGGGCCTTCACAAGCGTAACAACAACAATGGCAGACAAAATGGAAGGTTTGAAAATACAGGATGTGTACTTTGAACACCTATCTGCCCCATATTAGATTTCCAGACAGGCTAAAACAACTCAAAGAGGTTAAGAAGTGGGGCTGGTGTGATGCGTGTAGCCTGGGGAGCCTTGAGGGACACACAGAGAGGCTTGGACAGCTACATCTGGTGCCCAAGCCAAAGGGTCTGCACCCTTGAAATAGTGGATTATCATCTATAGACTAGGTGGTATGACCACTCATGGAGGGTATAATCTGACCAGCATTGGAAGGCTGGGAAGGAAATGAAGGGTGGGGAAATATCCTTCACTGTCCAGATTGTGTCTCAGATAGTATTTTTCTTTTCCTTGCATAAAGATGATACCATTCAGAGCAGTGTCCTTTATTTTAATTTCTTAAATGTCTACTTTTTCAGAATGGCTGCCTTTTCCATCTCCTCTCCTGTGGCACTGATTATTTTCATTCTGCCTACAGCAGTGCACAAGACCCCCCTTTTGTCAGCACCACTCTGATATCCGTTCTCTTCTTCCTCACTTTTCAGCCCATCTCTCTGGAACTTGAGTGTCTGAGCCCTATTGAGTGATATTTATACACTCTGGTTTCTGCAACATATGGCCACACCCTCCCTTCTTGAACATCAGAGGGGATGGCTCCAATTTGGCAAGCTTTTTTATTCTAAACCTGAACTCAGTCACATTTGACTCACTTTTCTTCAAGTGTGTCTCTATGAAATAAGTGTGAAATGCATTTTTTTTAAATATAAAAAGGATGGGGAGGGTGTGAAAACAACCTTTAAAAAATGATTCCAGTATCAAAGCCTGAGAGAAGTTTGGTAGCTTGAGTTTGTAAAGCCTCTCCCCCATTTCAAGCAAGGCCCACAACCAGGGATATTGGAGACTTTTGATGAAAACAAAAAAGGAAGTGGGGCTTTCTTTTGTAACTTTATTAGCATTAACAACCTGAAAGTGTGGTAGCAGCATGGCACATCACACCATATACAAAGCAAATGAAATGTAAATAATAAGAGAAAGAAATGTTGACACACCAAGCTGCCATGGGTAATGAATGCTGAGCTTCTAAGCCCAAAGCGTAAAAAATAAAATCCCACCAGAAGAATCCTTCACCCCTCACCCTGAAAACAAATAGTATATGTTTATTTTTTCCACAATAGCCAAAGTCCGTAAGTTCTTATACCACACAGACAAATGCAGATTTTTCAAGGTTTTCCATTGCTAGGCTGGCTTTTAAAGTCCTAGCTGCAGCTGACATCCATGTCAAAAGCTCTTTACAGCAATAAGCTTTCCTGTTGTCCATCCGCATATTCAGTAATGTCAGTTGTGGGTAAACCTGAACAGGTGATTCAAAGAAAGCGGAAATTGTTGCAGTTCCCTGCAATCAGAGACATAAATCAGGTTATTGAATACAATTGGTCACACCATTGTTCTTTTCCAAGCCTGCAAATGAGATATAATTACTGACATTTCAGAACATTGTTTTGCTATATCTTTTGCATAGAAATGAGTGTAAGTTATGTAACTTGCATAAATTAAATCAAATAGTGGATAGCATGACAAACAACATAGCATTTGGTGGAAACAGGACTGCAGTTGAATGGAAAAAGCACTGGTTGTGACAAAGGTCAAATCCTTGCCTTCTTGCGTCCTTGCCTACAAACTAAGGATGCTGAGAATTCTGACAGAAATGAAAATGAGAACAGAAATTGCCAATAATTGCTTATTCGTTTCATGTCTGAAGCAGAAATCGATCAGCAAGTATGATTAGCATTTGCTGTTGTTGTTTTTGGTCAACAAACGACATGTCAGTGATGACTTCTTACCTCTCATTTGCATGAAATGAATGGTGTGGGAAAACGTAATGATAATGTGATTAATTATGCAAAATTCTGCCACAGCAAACAGTGAAACAAATAATGCAATTTTGGTCAGAACTCAAAGTGCGTTGGGAATGGATACAGTGCTACATGCAATGAGCAGTGGTTGGAATGGAAATTACTGCCTTCATGCAGCATTTCCTACCTCCTTCTGCATTTAGGTCTGGCACAAAATGGAATCCAGTCCCTCCCTCACCAAGTTCCCACCCTCTCCCTACACCCCAATTTCAAGCAGAACAGAAAACACGGTAAGCCCAAACTTAGCTTTGAGAAGGGGTGTAGGAAGTAACCAGCTGTGGAAAGGCAATCAACCCTCATCCTTAACTGAGAATAATGCTCCTAAACTTCCTGGCAGGGTTTTCTCAGAACTAGCCCCCTGGTTATGCGATGCCCTGTTTGTTGAGTTGTCCCTGCCCCCCTCATCATTAGTGTATACAGGGGAAATTAAAAAATGTTACTATTCAAGGCCTTGGGTGGTTGAAGGATACTGCATTTGGCAACTCTGAAACTATTAAGAACATAAGAAGAACCTCAGGACCCAGGGGCCAAATGTTACCTTGATGGATGATAGTGGTGTGTGAGTGTAAAGAAACTAGCATACTAAAAAGGCAAAATTCATGTTTATTTTTCTGCCAACTTTTGCAGAGGGCTTATTGTCTGCTGGGTAACCACTCAGATCACATGTGTCAGTTGTGGGCATGGCTAGAGCAGCAGTGCGTGCAGCAATGCATCTAAATCTTGGCTTTGCATAGCAGCCCAACCTACACACACACACACACACACACACACACACACACACACACCTTCTCTCTCTTCCATCCAGCCAAGCAAGAGGCATTCCCAGAGTCCAAGGACACATTCTAGCCTGACAAAAACACTCATGAGGATGCCAAGCAAGGATGGTGAGGGGTGTGGCTTGGGGAGGATGTGGCTTGGGAGGGGGTGTGACCTGGGGAGAGTTCTGAGGGTCAAGTAGGGAGACTTCCCAGTTCTGAGGTTCCCCACCTCTGATCTGGGAAAAGAATGGGTATAAAAGGCTTTCTTTTTGGGCTGAGATGTACCCAAAGCAAAATAAAAAATCTTTCTGACTCTGATGTATTTCAATGCATTCCCAGTTCTCTGGCATTGATCCCAGCGCTCATCTCCAATAGCTGCCTGCAGTTCAGTCTCTTGAGCAACCTATGTTGAACTCCTATTTTGTTGGCGTTTGGTGGAATTCTATGGAAACATGAAACCTGCATGCCTTCCATATTTGTGCCTTGTACAGTGAAAGAAAAGCAAGCCAAGCTCTGGGTGGAAACATTCACCTCTCACATCATTTCACTAGTGAACACCATGTTTGATTAAATTATCTAAGGTGCTTCTGAAAGCTTCTTAGGGGATGCAGCACCCCATTCGTCCAGCACCGAAGAACAAGTGGCAGCTTGGTCCTCTGCCCCTAACCTCATCCAAGGTCTAATTGCCTGCTTGAGCAGCTTTAATGGGGAACGCATGTTTATATGGCAGGGATTCATCAAGCCAAAACAGCTTGTGCCATCGTGCTCAGAAGATGAATTATGACGACGGTGCTCTTGCAAGCTGTCCCCTCGTATATTGAGCCCCGGCCTAAGCCAAGAGGGAGCATGGAGGAGGCAGATGGCAGCTTGGCATCATGATTAAAGCCCTGGATATCCATTTTAATGATATGCCCACCCAGCAGATTAAATATTGCAATAGTCAGTCCCATTCCACACTACCGGTAATCTCAGCCTTATTTACTGTGCGTGTGAGAAGCTGTGCCTTCTCCTCTAGCATTCAGAATGTCAGCTTGGCAGAAATATAGCATGGGGAGAGGGAAGGTGTATTTAGAGTGGATCTGAAACAAATGGAAGGGAATCTGTTGAATAAAAGCAGCCTGATGAAACTACATGGGTCACTTCCTTGTTACAACTGCATTCGTTGGACGGCTTTAAAAGGGGATTAGACAAATTCATGAAGGAGAAGCCTATGAATGGCTACTAGCCACACTGGCTGGTTGCATTCAGGATCAGAGGTAGCATGACTCTGAATACCACTCACTGGGGGACAACTATGGGAGACAGCTATTGCACTCATGTCTTGCTTCTGGACTTCTGACCTGAGCACTAGCAATCTGACTGGTCAACATGGGAAGCAGAAAGTTGGACTAGAGAGACCTTTCACCCAATACCTGGATCTGCCGCATAAGAGGCACAAACCGTCCTTATAGCAAGGGTTGCCATACATCCTCCTTTTCCTGGAAATGTCCTCTTTTTTAATGGTGAAATTTCTGTCCGGGTGGATTTTTTAAATTGGGCAAAATGTCCAGGGTTTTCTCAAAATGCCAACGGCAACCTGTCTTCTCTTGTGCAGCAGTTAACTCACTCACGGCTGAGACTCAGTTGGGAACCACAGATGTTGCAAGCAGCTTCACTGCTCCAGGTTCCCTCTCAGGACTGTGTGTGACCTCACCATCTGTCCCAACCAATAGCAGGTGAGGTGAGGTTGGGGGAGGGCGGAGGTGACCTTACAAACATACAAGCATGCATGCTCTTCCCGCTCATTCTCTTACCACGTAGGTCCCTTCCAGTCAGTTCGCTGTTGCTGTTCCTCCCCCACCAGCTCCCTCAGAGCTCCTTTGCTCAGCCCCTTCAGTCACTCCCTCCACCGATTCTTCCATTGAAGATCCTTGTGCACTTTGTATCACCCCCAGTCTCATCCCTGCAAGTTGGTGAGTCTCGTTGGATAACAATGAGAAAGCGAGTCTTTAGTTTGATACCTGAGTGTTAGAGGTTCTGTTAGAGGTTCTGTGGAATACTCTGTCAATGGAAATTCAGCAGATGATTTCTGTGCCAACTGTTCAACTTTTAAATGCCTGCTGAAACTTTTTTATTCCACCAGGCCTATGCAAGTAATTAATCCATCCTTCCACAATGGCTTATTATTTTTAACTTCTCAGTTTTAAAATCATTTTAAACTTCTTATGCTTTTATTGTATGTTTTTAAATCTTTTAAATGTTGCATATTTTTCCAATTTAGCAGCATATAAATATTTTTATAAATAAATAAACAAACCTGGGATCCACTTCATACAGATCATGTGCTTTTCCACTGACCTGTGTCCTCTCCCTCACATGATCACCTTCCATTCTGGAGTCTGTATCTTGCCCCTCTGTTGTTCTAAGGAAACCTTTATCAGACCGCCAAATAATGATTCTTTGTCTTATGTATAGATCCAGACAGCATACTAGATCATCTGCCACACCCAGCTCTGTGAGCCAACAACTGACCAGTCAATTGCCTGTTGTCATAGTGACATCAAAGTTGAAAGGCGGTTGCTGTAATCATTGATCAACCAACTAGATTCTAGCTCTTTGAACCCAGGTCACCAGTGTCAACACTGAATCCCTTGCCGGACAAGCCCAGCTAACCCCCAAGAGCAGCATTGTTCTTGTCACTCACCAGGCTGGCAATCCCCCTCTCTGTCTCTATGGCGACTTTCCACACAGGGGCTATTTTAATTCAGCCGCCCCAGGGTTCTGAACTTTTGTCCGTCTGGGTAATAATATCCCATTGCTAAAATGTAATTTATGTGTGCATCATTTGCATTATTGAACAGCTGTTCTCCCCTCTAACTGCTTGCCTGCCATATTGCCTGGATAATAATATCTAATCCATATTAATTATAAATACACAAATTGTCTCCAAAATAAGGCACGAATTGTGAGCCATGCAAGCAGCAAAGTGCCAGGAAATGTTAAAATTAAGCCTGACACTTAAGCTTCCTGCTGGTGTGTCAGGAATCATGAAAGAAAAAGAAAAAAGATACAAAGGGGGAAGAAAGCCCAGTGGTGCAAGTTAAGCAGGGCAATGGTGGGCTAATAGCCTGCAGCAGCTGCCATAGCCCCTCAGGCGACAATTTCACTGTGTGTTTCACAAGCTAGGCTGGGCAAGATTAAAAGTAAGGCAGGAGCTGCTTCTGGGAGAACTGATGAATCCAAGTCCTGATTTAGGAGGCTGTTGTCTATATCTTGTGGTGTTTATTACCCTCTGGAGCACTAGGAGGTACTGCAAAAGGAACATGAGTATGGTTAGGTCATCTGCATAGAAGATGGGTGAAAGTCCCACCAACTGCTTAAAAAGCACAACCATTTAAACCCATTCAGCAAAATGTACTGTTATAAGAATTTTAAGGTCATATATATATATATATATATATATATATATATATATATATATTCGTAGATGTACCAAGCAAACACACACATAAATGTATAGACCACATGTCTGAGACCCACAGAAAAGTACTGAAACCATTTGTCTCTTCCAAATTGACTCAAATATTTCTCTGCAAGGTGGAAGGAAATGGGGAGCCTCCCCATTGTCTCTTTGCTCACAAATCCAGTCTCAAGGGCACAGTTAAGATATGAATAGGGTGAGCCTGTAACCTGTGACGTGGATTCAATAACTGAGTCGTTATCATAACAAAAGAGTGGCCAGGATGCCCAGGTAATCGAGTCAGGTAACCTGGCAGACAGAATAAAAACAATGCACTCAGATTTCTGTTGTAGTCCGCCCCTTCTCTGATGTATGTATGATGTATTGGGGGGTGGTCTGGGCTCCAGGGTGGGCAGTTCAAAAGTTTATGTAAGGGCTTCTAATGGTATTATACTAAGGCAACATCCCCACCCACCCACATGGTACAGTGCTTTATTAGAATAAAAAATAGGAGGGATCGTGGGCTTTGGTGGGTGCCAAGGAGTAGGTGTCTAGGGGCACTTTGGTGACTAAGAGTGCCAAAGTGCCTATGGCACCATGGTGGAGACCTGAGAGTTAGATGTGCTGTTTTAACTAAATCAAACAGGATATGCCTGTTGCTGCTAGAGAATTCAAAGGAACAAAAAATGTGATTTTTAAAGGGGTAGTGTAATTTGTGAGTTTTGAGACTTTGTGTGTGAGCGCGTGCACTACACAAACCAACCCATGGTTCCAACTCGACCCAGGGTGCACCTGAGCCTGACCTGACGCAATTTGTGGGTGAGAGATCTAATGTTTAATTAGGGTTAATTTGGTCCACCATCTCAATTCAAGTTGGCATCTAGCATCCAAATGTAGATGAAGACCATCTCCTCCATCTTGGGAAGTCCTTGTGTCAAGTTGGGTTATGATATATTCAGAGGCATCCAAACTGGTATTGATTAGAATTGTCCTGCCAAATAGGACAATGATAGCTATCCAAATTCATGCAGTTGGAATTCAAATTTGGTAAAGTCCCATCAAATGGGGTGGTGACATCTTCAGAGTTGTTCAGATTGCCTGGCCAAAGTGACGTCTGCTGCCTTGTGTATAAACAATGTAGGCACATTTGCTTAGGTACAGACAAGCCATCTCTTTGCTGTGGTGTCCGTCCCACATCTGAAAAGGCTTGGAGACCTGGCAGGCTGCTTTGCTGTAAGTCTAGACCTTATTTAATGAAGCACTAGAACTGATCTCTCTGACATTTGGACATCCCTCTTTGGTATCCCTGCACCCAACAACTCCCATGAGCCCTGCTTTGGGCATGCAGTTCAGAACAATACCACTTACATTAAGCCAAGTGGGAAACTTTTGGCCCTCCACATTCTGCAGACTGGACTATAAACACATTGGCATGCAATTTTTCCTATATCTACACATTTTTGCAAAACATTTCTCCCTAATTAAATGTATTTATGTATATGTTTTTTCATGCATATGCGGGCTGCATTCACCTAAACTGTTGCACTAAGTGGGAGCCAGTGCAATGAGTGCTGCTCCACAACAGGACTTTCCCTTCACCTCCCCCACACTTGCCTCCTCCTCAGTCTGCTCTTGAGGTTAATGAGAACCATGGGAGGAGGTGCAGGGAGATTCTTCCTTCTGGCAAGCAAAAATCCTTGTGTTGTTGATACTATTAAAATAGTGCAACACTGAATTCAAGCCTTTGCATTTTTATGCAAACTTCACCCAGTCTTTCCTTTTAAAAAATACATCGGTTGACTAGAGAATTGCATTGCAAAATTCAGAGAAGCACAAATTCCAAAACATGTCCACCTAAGTGCAGATTAGGTAGGCTCACCTTTAAATGTGAACCAAATCAAATTGCTCCCTCATCCCTACTGGTAGAGCTGATGTTTTGTTTGCAGAATGCCCTAGGCTCAATTCCCAGATTCCCTAGGTAGTATTGAGAGGAGAGGAACAGATGACTCATTCTCTAAAAACACGGAGAGTCAATCACCAGTCCTGAGCTAGACAGACCAATAAGGCTGCCTCACTGGTTCTTAAAGAATATTCCATTCTGTTCCCATTTGCTGATTTTTGGAGGACAAGCTCAATGGCATGGGAGGGTAGACCAGTATTTTTTTCCAATATAGTTTTGGCAGGAAAACATCGCTGCAGAGCTCACCTGGAAAGACTCCAGCAGGGGGAGACATGCCCCTGAGTTTGTTTGTTCAATTTTGTTTGCTCTCAATATTGACATTTTCTCTTCACCTCTACAGTAAGTCTCAGGTGCTTGTTCTATTCTTATAAGTGTGTTTGTGTTGCCTTTTTTTGCATTATTATCTTTTGGGGTTTTGCTTTAGGAAAGAAATGTTCATCAGTGACCTGGACCTCTCCGCTACAGAGAAGATTAGATTAAAAATACTTCAGGGAGATTTGGGTGAAGGAACAATCCACTTATGGAGAGGGCGGAATGAAACTGGGACAGAAAAGCAAGTAGACTGTATGCATGTGTGTGTGTGTGTGTGTGTGTGTGTGTGTGTGTTTCCTCCATTTTAGAGACAGTGAGAGCTGAGTTGGCCTTGATATGTGCAAATATCTGGTCAAAGGAGTGACCTACAAGCATGGATAGTACATCAATAGAGAGGTTTACTATTTAGGACTGGAGTATCAACCGCATTCTCATATGTGCCAGGAGCCATGGAGACAGCCATGGCTTGACCTGGAAGGGCTGTAGCCCAATGGTCAAACATGCGGAAGGTCCCAGTTCAATACCTGACATCTCCAGGTAGGGCTGGGAATGTCCTTTATCTGAGACTCTGGAGAGCCACTGCCAGTTTCAGGCAGTAGTTGTTTTTTTGAAGAAAAATAGGTGCCAGTACTCACAATGTCCCCCACCGCTTCTTGCCTACCCACCCCGCAGGCTCACTGTCCCCCCCCCCACTGTCTGGTGCGGCCATTATGATAGCCAAAGCATCTTCTGGGAAGTGCCTGACAATTGTAAAAATGTTGCACCAGAGCTTATGAGTGTCAGGCACTCCCTGAAGGCACTTTGGCGATTGTAAGGGTCACAGCAAAGCACCTCCAGGAGGCTGTGCCTGCAGCTGCAGGAAGCAGCAGTGATGGGGGAGGAGGAAGTGGCAAGGGTGCTGGGGGCAGCGAGGGAGGTGCGCCAGCAGTGGCAGTGATATGGTGGCAGGAGAAAAAGAGGTGGAGGTACACCAAACAGTACCGACCCCAAAAAAAGCTCTGCTTTCAGGCAATGCTGGACCATTGGTCTGACTCCCATTGTTCAATGGAGATTGCTCCTGAATGAGTATAGAATTGCACCCTTAAATAAATAAATAAATTGGGTGCCTTCCTTTAATGACTAGAAATGGGACTCTTTCCTTGGTGTTGTTTTTGTTAGTTAGTTAGTTAGTTAGTTAGTTAGTTAGTTTGTTTTGTTTTGCAATACATTGGTACCTCGGGTTACATATGCTTCAGGTTACAGACGCTTCAGGTTACAGACTCCACTAACCCAGAAATAGTACCTCAGGTTAAGAACTTTGCTTCAGGATGAGAACAGAAATCACGCAGCAGCAGCAGGAGGCCCCATTAGCTAAAGTGGTGCTTCAGGTTAAGAACAGTTTCAGGTTAAGAACGGACCTCCGGAACGAATTAAGTACTTAACCCGAGGTACCACTGTAGTGTAACACTCTCCCTTTCAACAGCAAGCAGGAGAGACAGGGCAGTTTGCAAGACTGACACACAGGGAGGTTTCTTCCCACGCATCAGCTGTTAGGTGGGAGAGTGTTATGTACTAAGCTTGGATCATAGAACAATAGGCAAGTAGGATTGTAGAATGCAACAACTGATTGGCTTGCAGGAAAAGACCAAACAGGCTCCAGGAGGAAGTTAATCAGCCTATTAGGCTAGTAGGATCATAGAATGCAACAACTAATTGGCCTGCAGGAAAAGACCAATCAGGCTCCAGGAGGGAAGCAGAATCAGCTATTCAGATGGGACTCATTGTGTAAATAATGTATATAAAAGCCTGAGGTTTGGGGGGCAATTCAATCACCGTTTTACAAGCTGCAATAAAGAGCATGAAATCACTACATGCCTCTGTGTATATTTCAGAGAGCCGCAGCCAAATCCCACTGCACCTCAATGAGACCCTCTCCAGAGTTGTGGAGGATATTGGCTCCAGGATCCAGAGAGAGTCTCCTCATGAGCCGGGGTACAGCAGGGTTTTGCTGAGGCTGTTCAGGTCTCTCCACACCCCCCTCCACACACACACTTCCTTGGCCCCTGAGAGGTGCCGGAACACCGGTTTGAAGCGTTCCAGCTGCAAAAAAACCCAACCTTGGTGCTAACCATTTTTGAAGTATGTTATTCACACACCACAAATTCCAGCCCCTACCCTCCATGTTGTTACATTTGGACTATGTGCATCCTGTTTTCACAGTGTACAGGGAATTTGATCTATGAAACAATGAGTTATATATTTATATATTTGTTTGAAAAGGTTACCAATATGCTAATGAGGTGTGCTGGGAGAATCTGAGTACAGTGGTACCTCGGGTT